TGGTCAGCGTCCGTGTGCTTGCCTTCCCCTGCCCTTCCCTTCCCTTCCCTTCCCTTCCCTTCCCCACAGTTTAGAGTCATCCACAATAAAATCATACCTCATATGCTCAAACTTCTGTCATGAGGGCCTGAGACCTGCAAAATTCATCATGAACAGAAGGACTGGAGCTTACATTGATATAAAAAAGTCCTATTTCCTAGAAGTGACATGCACAGAAAAGACAAAGTTTTTTTTCTGTTGCTTTTTATATCCAAAATATGCAAGGTCTTAAATATGAATCTCTGCACACCCATGTATTTTAACTGATTGGGGCTTTCTACATTGGGACTATGAAGTCTCTTTTTTCTCCTCTTTCTTTTGAAGGTGTGAGATAATTGTTTGGATCTTTATTCTTAATTAACGAGAAAGGGAGAGGGAGATTTGAATCTTTAAAAGAGATGTCTGCCCCTAGCAGGTGTTTAAGTTCCATGTTAACAAATTCAAACAAAATCCTGGCATGTCAAATAAGGTGACTATTATGTTGTAGATTGTCTACTCAACAGTACTTAGCTCTAACATTTTAAAACATGACTAACTCCAGGTCAGCACTGCCAGGGATTGTGCCTTTGTGTATTGATAATAATGTTCTGCCTGTTATCTGCACCTCTGAGGTGTGTCTTGCACTGTGTGCTCAGGGCTGGCTCAGCCCCACTGCCATTCACCCTGACTCAGAAGGGAGCTGTGAGGTCTTCCCAGCAGACAGCCACACCACCAGCTTCCCATGGCACAGCCAGAGCAAAACACCGAGCTGTTACACCCTGTATATATTTCCTAACAGGCTGGCAGCTCAGCGTGTCAATATTTACCAGGCCTGTCCAGCCTCCTGGATTTTCAGGTTTATAGGGTGGCAGTGGGTGTGAAGAAGGTGGGCAGGAATCTGTTTTCTATCTTGCCCTCTAGCACGAGAATTCAGGACTGTGATGACACTAGCCAGTGACAAGTTAGTATTAATGAACAAGTTCATCTTTCACATGACATGTAGCTAAACTATAGAAATGTTTGCCAGAGGATGGCACATGGGCTGGAGGGGAGAGATTGGATGAGTACCTGAAAGAGAAATCCTTTAAACGCTGGTGAGTGTGCAGAAAATACCACCACCAGCTCAGTACCCTGTGGCAGATAGTTGCAAGCTGGAAAATACACAGAATTATCCTATCTACTTGTCATACTTGTACATTCTTGTTTTATACATCTGAATTTGCCTACCGGTGAAGTTAAGGTTAGCTTAGATGGACCTTTGGTCTGCCTCATTGCCACTGCTCTTTTTTTTCTTGTATTCTACTCTTAGATGTTAGGCTAGGTGGTTTTACTTCAGCTGCTCCATTCTGTGATTTCATCCTGGTGTGAACCTCACTGTCTACAGGGGGACTTTGCCAATGTCCTTGCATGCACAGGGGATGAATGAATTATGTTCCAAGGCACTATATGGTAGATAAATTAGAGACGACCTGTTGATCAACAAAGTTTCTTAAGGTTTCAGATCATTTCTAGTGTTGCAACTGATTCAACAGCAATGTGCAGTTGAGCTTTGGAGGAGCAATGATAATCAAGATACTGGCCCAGCAGTCGGGTTTCTGGGATATCTTAATTCAAAATCCTTTTTCCAGCTCTGCTGGGAGCATGCTTGGTAACAGGAAGATTTAAGAACTGCCTGGGGAGAAGAGATACAAAAAGTCTCCTTCCCACCACCACCAGTCTTAGATGCTTAGTTAGAAGTTTGGTAAGAAAAGACAGACAGACAGAGACTTTTTTTTTGTTGTTAGATCATTCCCAGATCTTTGTGTTTATTCTTATGAGTCTGGGTAGCTATAGGTGCTCCTGTATCTGGTGTCAGTCCAAGGGATGGAGAGTATGCTGTACTTCATTTGGCTTGTGGACCCTAATTATTTTTATGTTACTCTTGGCTAATGCTAAAGGCACATTTTAATTTGCAGCTTTCCAAAATCATCTTCTGCCCTCAGGAAGACAGTTCCTTCCCTGTTCGGATAGTGCTTTGCTGTGCATGAGATCAGAAAGAATATTGCAAGCTAAAAGTTGCTTCCTTCACCCCAAAATGCAGCTAGCCTGGAGCACCATCTGCCCCCCATATGCACAACAGAGCCCAGCAGCAGCCTTGGCTGGTCAGCACCACAAGCTGAGGTCGTTGCCTTTGCTTTCTTCCAGCACTGGGATGTGTTTCGGACCATTACGGAAGTTTTTATCCTGGTTCCTGCCTTGGTTGGCCTGAAGGGTAATCTTGAGATGACGCTGGCATCCAGGCTCTCTACTGCTGTAAGTGTTAACAAGGGGGGAGAGGGGGAGGAGGATTAGCTGTAGACATCAGGAGACCCTGCTTTTATATAACCACTCTGTGTGTATGAGACATGCCCTTTTCTGCTAAGCAGAAACTAGTGGGGTGTGAGTGTTAAAATAATGTGTTTGCCCTCGTTTTGTAACTGGAACAGAGAATTTCCATCTGTGCTTTGAAGGTGAATTAATCCCTGGGTGGCCAGTTGCTGATATTTGGGGCCCTGTGACACATGAAGGAGACAAAGCCAGGGCTCCCCAGCTGTCAGCTTCAGTACTGGATTGTTTTTCTGTGGGTATTGGTCCTTGAGAGACCCAGGGCTTCCCAGCAATCTGACCTTGGGGGGAGCAGAGCGAGCCATTTTGGTATCTGCAGTAGCTTTTGCTGCTCTGGATTTGATTTCTCTTATCTTCCTAAGCAGTTTTGTTTACTTGGGGCTGTTTGTATTGCATGTCTCAGGAGAAATTGGAGCTTAACAGAGCAATTTAGGGGGAAGGAAAGAGGAAAAATGGTTTAGTTTCTTGAGCTTTTGGTCTGTGCACAATGTGGTGGATGTGCCCCCCCCTTTAGCTGAAAGCCCTGCAATGCTTCTGCACCTCCATGTGTGCCTCTGATACCCGTGGGCTGGAGCATGATGGAGATGTGTTGAGAAGGACGTGCAGGGAAGGTTGGGAGATGCTGACCTGCACTTGTCTCTCCTGGGCTTTAGCAGCCTCTTTCCCACAGGTACCAGGTGAGACTGCCTCCAGCAGCCACCTGTACCACAGGAATGGGTTTTCAGGGTGTCTCTCTTGGCTCCTAGGCTAACACTGGACAGATGGATGATGCCCAGAAGCAATGGAAAATGGCAACCTGCAATTTAGCCCTTATCCAGGTGAGTCCCCTCAGCTGGAAGAAGAAGAGGAAGAAGGCCCATTTCTCTTGCCATGCTGCAGCCCAACAGCATCTCTTCCCAGCAGTGCTAAATCCCAAGCTGTTGTTTTGGGGCAGGTATTCTCAACAGAGCCAGGCAGAGCCCAGAACTTGACCTCCAGTAAAGCTTTGTGTGGCCCCAGACCTTGTTGTTTAGCTGCAACACACATCCAGACACTCATTTACTTTGCAGAGAAACAGAAATAATGCAAAAACCTCCTTTTGCAGGGGGAGCTGCAGCACAGTCCCTGTTTCACAACCTCCCCTAGATAAAGCCTGTCATTTACTGGCAGTGTTTGGGAATCAGCCTTGGGCAGGAGGGGAGAGATGGGTAAATGTGACACTTGTAGCTCTCGCTGCTTGTTAAATCCAGCAACCAGCCTAGAGATTGCACATGGCAAGGCCACAGGGCTTGCAACATGTGTCTGTGCTTTCCCTTATCTCCTTCCACAGCTTTCAGCTTGCTAGGAGTGCTGTGGTGAGGGAGAGCCCATTTTTGTGTTGACCAGGGCTATTCCTTTGCTGATGGACTTGGTGTCCTTCGCTGAAATGTTATCTGCCCTTTGCAGGCCTCCAGAGTTTTTCTCCAAACTTTGTCAGTAAATTTGTTTTAATGTAGTGGAGCCTTACAGGGTTGTTGCTTAAGTACATAAGCAATCAGCATCTCTGGCAGACTTAGCTGTGTGGAAATGCTGTGGTTGTGTGTAGCCAGGATTGCCTGGGAGCAGATATGGATGATTGCTCACCAGCTGTCTTTTGACCCCCAGGTCCAGGCCACCGTGGTGGGACTGCTGGCTGCTGTTGCTGCCGTGATCCTGGGAGCCATCTCCAAGGGCTCTGTGGAGCTGAGCCAGGCTGCTGTGCTGTGTGCCAGCAGTGTGACCACAGCCTTCGTCGCTGCACTTTCTCTCGGTGAGTCCCTTTGGCTCCTCAGATCCAACATGCCACACTCAGGTGCAAAAAAACTTGTCTCTTCTGTCAGGGATGCCCAGCTGACATCCCTATGGTCTGGCACAGGGAGGAGGGATGTGGGGAGCATTAGTTCTGTGGCTGCTGCTTTCACCCCCTCTGCATCCTGCCTTTGCTTCCTTTCTCCCAGGATGTGTTGTTCTCTGGGCTCTCAGCAGCCACGGCAACAATCAGACTGTCCAACTTGACCTGACAGGTGAAGATTCACCTTGTGGGAGCAATGCCACATGCTACACGTGGGTGTACACACACATGCACACGCTGTCTCCATGTCTTGGGTGACACGTTAGCCATCTACACTGTCCCTTTCTTGAGGAAGAACGAAGTGATGCCATCTACAAAGCAGGGTACTGAGTCTGTTAGCAGACAACTCCAGACCATGCTGCAGAGGGACGTGGGTCACCCAGTGAATACCCTGTGGAGAATTGTGGCCAGCCCTGCCTGCTGTGAGCTCTGAGCCAGACAGCCCACTCCCCTGGCTATTCCCCCTGCGAGGGCGGTGGGGAGGAGCTGCTCCGTGCCCTTCGGGGAGCTCCTGGAGATGTCAGTTTGTCGGTCAGCCATACGAGGGCAGCATGACACCCCGAATAGAGGGAGCTGGCAGCCCTGAGTACAGCAGGCTTCTTAAATGGAAGGGACAAGTTAGAGCAAGTGCATATCCTGGAGCTGGAGTCAAAGGGTGACTGTAGATGCCTTTGATGAAAAACATGGGATGAGGCAGTTGTTAAAAGAGAAAAACAGCACCCCAGCTTTCATTAAACTCTTCCCTTCCATCTCCCTGCTTGGTGTGACACAGAGAGAGGCTTTGCTGCGGGACCATCAGAGGCTCTCAGCTAGCTTTAGTTTCTCCCCTGTACATGGTCACAGATGGGCTGTGTGTGGGTGTGCACGATGGGAAGCTGCTATTTTTATGAGCAGGGAGGGAGGGAGGCAGGACAAGCTGTGCTGTGGGGAGGGGAGCGTGGGTGCCTGGGAGGGCTTCTGTGCAGAAGGCCATGTTGTGTGAGGGTGTTTTTCGTTGTAAGGGATGTTGTGTCAGGAAAGGTGCACATGTGGCATTTCTTAAGGGAGAGCCTATGCTCCTGTGCACGCCCAGCTTTGGTGTCCCTTTGCAAAAAGGCACAGAGAGGTGGTGATCTGGAGGGAACCACTGTTTCTCAGGCTTCCTTTGGTGTATCACGGAAGGACTTTGAAGAGGTGTCATGTGTCTTGTCTCAAGGCTGCCCTTGCTAGTCCCGCAGCAGTGGAGGCTGGCTGGGGAGAGTTTATTCCAGGTGGCTCTTCTGCAGGCCTGTGAGACATCTGATGGCTGAGGGATTCACACATGGTCATCAGGCTTTGGACTTTGCACATGACTTACCTGGGGAAGCAAAACTTCCATCCTCTCCAACAGTGCTGAAAAGCAGCTGAGTTTTCCAGGCGCAGCTCAGAGGACAGGGAAGGAGAGGTGATGTGGGCCATCTCCATAACCCCATGATTCTGGAGCTGCTTACAGCATCAATGTCCACCCAGTGCAAATTAAAGGAGCCCCAGAGACTGAGACATGAGGGGTCAGTCTGATGGCTGGGCCAAAAGGCTAATTCAAGCCTAATTCAAGGAAGCTTGTTTCTCCTTGGTGGTTCAAACTCAGAGATATTCTGGTCTAATATGGAAAATATCCTTGTGCTGTGGAATCCAGAGCAGAGGATGGCACCAGGAGGCTGCTGCATGCCTGCTGTGTGCTTATCTATGAGTGTGCTCTGTGCCTGGTCCTGCTTCAAGGCAGCAAAGATTAGGCTGCTCAGGAGGGGAGCTTCTACATTTGGGCTGCCTGCTGGTATCTCCTTTGATCCCTGGAATTTGCTTGTGTGCCTCTGGGCCTTTGGTGCAGTTCATAAGGGCAGAGTCATGCCCTTCAGGTTGGCGAAAAAGCAAAAGGACAAATTCCTGGGGATGTCCAATCTCCAGCTGCATGGTACTGCTACAGGCAATCTTCTTCTTGCTTTTTCCAGACCCCACGTCCCTCTGGGAACCAGAACAGAGGCTCTGGGGTGAAATGCAGCAGGATTCATTCTCTGATGCCTGTTCTGTGTCTTCTCTAGGTCTGGTGATGATTGGCGTGATCATCGGAGCAAGGAAAGTCGGGATCAATCCAGACAATGTCGCCACACCCATTGCAGCAAGCCTTGGAGACTTGATAACCCTTTCCCTGCTGGCAGGAATCAGCAGCACACTCTTCAAATACATAGGTACAGCCGTTAGCAGGGCTTTGTAGCTCAGTGAGGGAGGGATGAATCCTTGTGAAATTATTGCAGGGTGCTTACTCGTTTCTGAGGTGTTTCATAGTGGAGACTGTCATGCCACTGAGGTAGAAAAATAACCAAAGAGGCTTTTTCTAGGCTCTCTTTTAGCAGCAAACTGGAAGGCAGAGCTGAAGAAACACAACTGGGATTTGTCAAAGAAATGACCAGTGTGTATAGCAGCGTTTGGAGCAGAAGGTTGACATATGTGACAATGACTCTGTTCCTGCACCTGTTGCTAGCCAAGCACAAGTACTTTCTGTGCATGGATAACAGCAGGTCCCTCCTCACAAAGCAGTTTCAGCGGTTTGGGATTTGTCAAATATTCTTGTAACTTCTCATGTGGAGAGTCTGGATAAACAAGATATTATCAGATTGGAGGGAGAGAGGCAGTGCTGCATTGGTTTATGCTCACAGGACTCTGAGGAGGGGTTGTAGCTGTGGGGTTAGCTAAGCTGCTGGTTGACAAAGATTTGGGCACCTGTTGACACTGGAAAGCTCAAAACATGTTGCAGCTGGGTGATATATGCCTGACTGTTGCTTTTAAGGTGCTAGACTGTTTTCCATGAGCCTAACCGGGAACAGAAACACAAAAATAAAAAGACCCAGCACATTCCATACTGTTTGAAACCCAAAATGTTGCTTCAGAGCATGAGCAGAAGCAGCAAGGCAGCTGTTCTCAGTTTGTGCTAACACGTTCCATATGCCAGCAAGCGAGGGAGCAGAGCAGCACTCTGCAGGGAGAGGCTCCTGTCCAGTCCTCCTCGAGCTTCAGAGGTGCCTTTCTCTCATAGGCTTTTTCCATGACGCCATCACACCTGCCTCTGTAGAGCTAGTTTGTCTTTCAGTCACCACACCTCTGATATTATCTCCCAGAGAGCACACGGCAGAACAACATGATAACATCTATGGTTGTGACCAGAGAGCATTTGTGGTGTTTTCAGAGTAATTTTAAGAGCCTCTTGAGATGGAAAAGAGCATGCAGACGTTTGGTCATTGGGAGCATGAGGTGAAGCTGGTAGGAGGAAGCACTGTTGATGGTGGTTGTATAAATCCATTTCCCTCCTCAATATGTAGTAAGGGACAGGTCAATGTTGTGACAACTTCTAGGTCCTACCAAAATGTATCCTTCAGAAATTCCACCAAGTCAGTAAAGTTTGGAGTGCCGTGTGCCACCTGACGCAGCACTGCCTCCTTCTGCAGAATACCCTTTTGCCAATGAAGATTTTCAAATTTTTAAAAACCAGTCCTGGTCCTTCCCAGTCCTGCGTGACACGAACTGTGCCAAAGGGTTTCAGCTGCCTTGTGGGCTGTGTGTGAGAGAATGTGGTAGAACTGGAATGTGGAGACCTTAGTTGTTCATCCTACCAGGAGTTTTTCTGTGGGCTTTGATAAGGTTTGATAGACTCCAGTGCTCTGTCTGAATTACTTAAGAAGGAATTAATTGCCCAAAACAACAAGGGGATCCTGTACAGCATCAAAGTCTGTCATACAACCCGTCTGTCCTGAATGACTCTAAATGGTAAAAAAACAGCAGCTGTTTACACCCCAGAAGTGGCTGCATTTCAGTGCCACTAAAGCCACACGTAAAGAGTGCACCTCTGTGCAAGAATCGTGGAAGATACCATCACATCAGTGCTACCTCATCCAGGTATCCCCAAGCTCACTTTGAAAAATGCACACTTTGAGCCTGCTTCATCTCCCAGGTCACCTGCACAGTCTGCCTTTCAGCCCACTGCCTTTGGCCCCAACTCAGAGACCAGATGGAGAGCTTTGTTGAAGAAGCATTTTTATATCAAAAGGGTTGGCATCATCCCCATTGCTTGAAGGTGTTTCTCATGCTTCTGAGTCATGTTTATTTTCTTTTAGTGCTGCACATCTACTTAGTTTTTAATTCTTTTGCTTCTAAAGGTCACTTCAAGGTTATGCCCTTACCAAATGGAAGAAAGCACTTAATGGAAACACATGTAAGATAGCACAAAAGAAACCCTGGATCTTAACTGGCTTATATGTGCAAGAGAGCATTTGTTCCTACAGAGCAGACCAGCTGCTCAGCAATTTTGCTAGCTTGCCACCAAAAGTAGCTATTAGCTCTTGGTTTAGGTGCAGGCGTGAGGGTCTGTCTGGGATACAGCTTGCACACAGGAGTTTCCCCTTTGCCTTGCTGTTTCATTTGTACCCTGAAGCCAGAAATTTAGTAACTTTTTGTCTTGCTTAGTTGGAGATGGAATTGGAGACTTGCTCATCTTTAAATATAACTTGCTTTGAATCCTGCTGACGTTCAAACAGTATCCTCTAGCAGTGAGTTTCAGGGATTGATTATGGATTTCAGGGCTGGAGTGAGGTGGCTGTGTGGGGAATATCGTGGTTCATAAGATTTTTATGCTAACATAACTGAGAGCAAGAACCCCACTGCCTTTCTTCCAGACTTTGTGCAAAATGATTGTGGCAACTTGTGAAGCCATGGGCATTTAATTCAAGTTTTCTCTTCCTTGCCAGATATGAAATACCTTTCTCCTCTGATCTGTGCTGTCTTCATTGTCATGATCCCTCTCTGGGTTGCTATCGCCAAGCAAAGTCCTTCCCTTGCTGAAGTCCTGAAATCTGGATGGCATCCAGTCATTGTTGCAATGAGCATCAGCAGGTAAACTGAGGAGCTGCTCCTGAGCCCACACGTGTCTCCGTGCTGCAGAGAGACCTCGTGCTCATTTAGAAAGCCATCAAAAGTGAAACTGGAAGGGGCAGCAGAAGGGTGTTTGTCCAGTGCTTCTCAGCCATTGGTGGAGGGCCCTCCAACAAGAGTGAGGTGGCAGATAAGGAGCCCCCAAATGTCTGGAAAAAGGAAGTCATCACTTTAAATCTCACTTGCACATCCATGCTCCATGTGGGTGCAAGCCAGGAACTGGAAAAGAGAGATGGTGACCATGACTGGTAGTCAGATTTCAACCTCATTTTTATACAGCAATAAAGACAGAAGACTGGTGAATATAGAGCCAAGTAGTTCATTCCCCCTATGCTACAGCTTTCAAACCCAGCTGAGATCTGGGAGAGAATTTTAAAAAACTGCTAAGACCAGTATAGAAGTGTAGTAAAACTTATGGGGAGGATGATACAGTTTCCCTGGCTACCATCAGCTTTGCTCAAGGGTGGGCAAGAAGATCTTCCTGACCTTATTATGCCATTAACAAAAACTGTAAGGCTATCTGTTGGTGAAAACTGAGCTGTAAAAGGAGTAAATGGTGAATAGTCCAGCCCTGGCCATGGGGAAGATGCAGTCATTCATCTCAGTGTGTTGTTTTCACAGTGTAGGAATTGCCCTGGGAAAAGAGATTGACTCACCCTCATTGCTTGTCCTTTTTTAACAGCATTGGTGGGCTCATCTTGGACAAAACAGTAACTGACCCAAAATTTGAAGGCATGGCAGTTTTCACGCCTGTGATTAATGGTAGGTTGGGCTGGGGGGGTTATATGCATGCTTTTATTTATGCCTCCTTCTCCTCCCCAAGTTATGGTATCCACTGTTGCCCCTCCACAGAGGTCTGTGTTCAAGTCCCTGCTCCCATCACAAGTGGAAGTGAAACTACTGGTGCTCATTACAGCCCAGCTTATAGAATCATAGAATGTTTTAGGCTGGAAGGGACCTCTAGGGGTCATCTGGTCCAACCTCCCTACAAATGCAGGGACATCTCTACCTAGGTCAGGTCACCCAGGGCCCTATCAAGCTTGACCTTGAATGACTCCAGGGTTGGGGCCTCCACTACCTCTCTGGGCAGTCCATTCCAATGATCTATTACTCTTATATTAAAGATTTTTTTTCTAATATTGAGTCTAAATCTGTCCTTTCCTAGTTTAAATCCATTGCTCCTTGTCCTATCGTTACAAACCCTTTTGAACAGACCTTCCCTCACCGTCATGTGGGCCCCTTCAGGTACTGGAAGGTCACTATAAGGACCCCCAGAGCCTTCTCTTCTCCAGGCTGAACAGCCCCAGCTCCCTCAGCCTGTCTTCCTACAAGAGATGCTCCAATCCCTTGATCATTTTGGTGGCCCTCCTCTGGATTCGCTGCACTATGTCTACATCCTTCTTGTGCTG